TGATTATAATAATTGGTAATTGGGGCATAGGTACATTCATTTCTAAGTCATAATGCATTTTCCAGAACTGACACACAGTAAGAATTAGTATATCTTAGCTTTAACTGTCTCCCTTCCGCTCCCGCTGTCCAAACCTGTACCTTGCCTCTGCATCTGTGCTGCTACTCGTGGGGCGCCACCACGCCCGGCTGGACCTGTCTTATAAAGAGTCTGTTCAGTCAAGATCACTTAACAGGATGCTGAGCTACAGTGTAAACCCATACCCCTGTTTCCTGAACGCCTCACTTTCTGCACTGACACTCTTTTGGTGTTTAGAAGCACCCAAACCTCGGAATCTTTTGAAAAAACCATGAAGGGAAACATGCTCTGTGCTTGGAAACTATAAATCATCAGCTTGCTTGTGACAGTGCTCATGGTCTCTGGGTGTTTTGGTCTTTTGGTTTAAATTTGATAACTGAGATGTCAGATTTCACTCCAGAATCTCTTGCTTTTCAGTACTTGTAAAGTATCTTGACATTGGACTAATTAAGCTCTGAAGGCAGGGCATATGGTTTCCTTCAGCTAAAAAATTGCAGAGAAGTGCTTGAAATTTAAATGAAAAGATGACATTTTATACATTAAAGGCATGCATGCTGTCAGTCTCGGCATTCTGAACCACTGTTCTGAAAAGCCTTGCTAATTACACACGTCTTCTCTGGGAAGTCGTGAGATGACTGAAGGACATAATGATGAATCAATTGTTTTAGATTTTTTTTTCCTTTGAGACCGAGTTCCTCTGTAGCATTGGAGCCTGTCTTGGAACTAGCTCTTGTATAGCAGGCTGGCCTTGAACTCACAGTGATCCCCCTGCCTCTGCCTCCTGAGAGCTGGGATTAAAGGCGTGTGCCACCACCGCCTGGCCATATTCTTACTTTTCTACTCACTTGTGAAGATTCTCACTAATTGAGCTAAATTTTTGTGTGTTTGTCTTCCTCTGAGATAAGCTGTTTTGGAAGATGAAGTGAGTTGTGGCTTTCCTTTGCTGGTCCTAGATCTGAAAGAAGGTGCATACCTATGGTAGCAAATATGGACATATTTTTTCTTCCTCCTAGATACTAATAAAGCAAAATCATTATTGAACAGGAGCTGGAAACAGTAGCATTGCCATTTGGGTGCAGTCTTCAGTGATGGAGGAGCCAGGCACAGAGAGATGTGAAACAGCCTGATTTTGTCTTCTACGTTTCACAGGGTGTCTTTCCCTTTGACTTTAGGCAACGGCTTTGTGTTGCTAGTGTAGGAAAGCTGGATAAATTGTGAACTGAGATGATTTCAATATGAAATGCTGATGTCATTATGGGCCCGCTTTGTAGAAGACTGTCTTAAGTGGGACAGTAATAAATTGTTTCACTTCCTTGAAATTTTAAGTAAAAGGCGTTGGGAGACTAGTTTTGTGCTTTGGCTGCAAAGCATACAAGCTGTTGGGATGTGGAATAAGAAGCGTTTTTAGTTTTCTTTGTTATATGTCAAAAATGTTGAATATATAACCTCAGGGCTCATTATCAAATTAAGACAGTTAAATGGATGCTTTAATAGTAGCTATCTGCCTAGGGTGTCTTGACTGGCTTGTGCTGAAAGAGCAAGGGTGTCTCCTTCAGAGGGTGTGTCATCAAGTGAACTGTGACAAGACTGCAGGGCAACACACAGCTCAGTAATGGGCCAAGAAGGGATGCTTAACAGTCTGTGAGTGCAGGTAATTGCAATAAGATGGGCATTGACTCTGCTACCAAACAAAGGTAGGTTTTCAAATGTAAAGATTTGGGCAGTGTACAGTAATTTCTCAGCATTATTTTTGTTATGAGATTATAAATAACAGTAAGTATAAGTTGTTTTATTAAAAATAATACATTTCAGAAGAATTTCAATAAGAAGTTGTGTATTTCTCTTAAGATGGAATATTGTATGAGGATCAATCAGCTGAAAAATGTGTCTATCTGGTGAACCAAAAATGGAAGCAGGTTGCTAATACTAAGTGGATTAATTTCTTTTTCTACTTTTGTGATAAAATACGCTAACAAAAGCAACTTAATGAGGTAGGGCCTTTGCTTGGCTCCCAGTTATAGTATAGTCCATTATCGCTGGCAAGAAGTTGCTGGTCACATGGCATGCACAGTCAGGAACGGAGAGTGATGGATGCATGTTGCTCAGGTTTCTTTCTCCACTTCTACAGTCCAGGATCCCAGCCCAGGGAATGGTACCACCCACAGTGCAGTCCCTCATTGCAGTTAATGTAATCGATATAATTTTTGATAGTCATGCCCAGCAGCAGTCTTCCAGATAATTATAGATTCTATCAAGTTGACAGTTAATACTAATCATTATATTGACTGAAAATAGTTGGAGCCTAGGGTCCTGAGACAAAACTGAAATAAAATGAACAGTCCTACTCCTTAAATGTGCTTATTATACTAAACCTGAGAAAGTTTTGTTAATGTCTATCTTCTTTGCATTGAGTTCAAATGTCAAGCACATCTGATCACGTTATAAAATACAGAGTAATGGATGTATTACTGAGGGGCCCCTGACTAAGTCCCTGACTAGGCCCCCTTCAAGCTGAGATGGCATTGACAAGCACATGTTCTCATGTTCTTTTACTCATTGAAATTTGGATTTTATCAATAGTTAGGATTTTAAATTATAGTTTCTTTAAGAAAATAATTAATATTTTCAGTTATGTAGCAAGATAACTACTTGTTGTGAGTTATTTGGGTATTAGAAATAAAAACATTTTAAAACTGTAGTTATGATGGTACTTGAAGGGAAGGATTTTATGCCACACATCTACAATTGTTCCTGTGTTAAATGAAACTTCTCTTTGAGTGGTAGGTATACAGTGTGTTTTAAATCCAGCAGAACATTATTGCTGCTGGCTATCTATCTATCTATCTATCTATCTATCTATCTATCTATCTATCTATCTATCTATCTATCTATCATTTATTTATATTCTCCTTGTGTCAGTGAGGCTTGAAGCAGAGAGGCAGAACAAATTTCAGTACCAGTTTGGTTTTTTTTTTGTTGTTGTTGTTAGAATAACTAATTCTCACAATACTGACCTATGTATTCAAGAGACACTCAAGGCTTTTAGCAGTTACAATACTGAAAATTTCTGCTTTCCAGCGATCATTGCAAATCTCTTTAGAGATACTGTAAGGATTATTGAAAATTGTTTGGCTTTGGAAAGAAACAGCTCTTTGAGCAATGGCAGATATCAGACAATAGGAACAGGCAAGCTGATTTTTTTCCTTCTGTACAATATATGTGAGAATCTTGAAGTTTCACCCATTTTTTTTTTTTTTTGCCACCATCCAACAGATGAGTTTTCAACAGATTTTTGGGTGGAAATTATTGCACGTACACTGTGGGGACTGTGTAGGTGGTTTCTCGGTCTGTATGTTTGTGGGTGACTTGTCATCTGCCAGTTGACCCCAATGCCCATCACTGTCTTTGTGCTTATCATACCCTCTTCAGCCTTTCTCCTCTTCCTTGTGTACGTCAAGCTCATTTTCAAAACTCAGAGCTTTCTGCTGCTTTTGCTTGCTGCTCTGTTTGAAAATCATTCTCCAGCTTCTTCTCCCCTTTAGAGCACCTGAGTTAGAGCCACCCATCAAAGATGCTTACCTGGACTTTCCTCTATAACTTACTTTTCTAGAGTCTGCTTGATTTTTCTTCATGGTCTTCATAGTAACATGAAGTTTCATTCTATGTTTGTTTATTCGGATGTGCTGTGAGCTCAGAGACTTATTCTGTTTTGTTTGTAGAAACATTCTTAGTCCTGGGCAATACAGGACTCAGCAGCAGTTTGTTGAATGAGTAAATGTGCAGATGTGCCATGAAAACTGCATGCCTCATCCATTTGGTGTCCTTGGATGTTTCTCTTACCTCATTTGTACTTCCAGTGCATTTTTAGATTTTGCATGCCATTCATTTTTGTATATTCTCCGCTGGATTAAAATATTTATTTTAGGTGTACATCCTCTGCTGGATTAAAATATTTATTTTAGGGTTATGGTTGTCTATGTATTCCTTGTGTCCAGTGCCCAAAGAGGCTAGAAGAGGGTGTCACACCTGTACAGGGAGAGTTACAGGGGATTGTTAGCCACTATGTGGGTGCCGAGAATTGGATTTGCATTCTCTGAAATCTTTCCATCTCTTCTCTGCTGGATTTCAGCTATACATATACACAAGTGGAGGTTGCTGCCTGTATGTTGTTAAAGAGGGGCAGCGTAACCAATAATGGAGGATGGAGACAGTAGATTCCAAGTGTCTTGAATTCAAGAGCATTCAATGGACTGATTCCTTTCTTCCCCCTCTCTTGCCCTTCCTTCTTTCCTTCCTTCCGTTACTTCTTTTCCTGTTAAAATATTATGTTTGAGCTGCAAGATTTATGGCTAGAGACTATGTAAAATGCAATAAATAAAAAATATTGTTCAAAGAAATTCATGAGTACATTTTTTTAAAAGACAAAATAGAGTCTGTTTTCTTTACCCCCTAGAAAGGCCCGTGTCCTGTGAGCTGTCACACCTCCTAGTTGGAGCAGTCAGTTCCCCTTCTTCAGATAATTCTCTAGACATATGGAAAGAGAATTGAAAGAGATTGCCCCGACTCCGCTCATCTCACTTGGGAGGTAGTGCTGCTCTCTTCCATGGAGACACAAGACGGATTGTGTTAAGATTGTCTCCTGAACAACTGTGATTGTCACATGTATATTCAAATACACCTGCAAAATGGACACAGAAAAGAGGATATGTCTATGAGGTTTGAGAACAGTTGTGGGTCATGCAGACATCTGCCAAATTAAATAGTAGGCTCTTTTTATACATATGTTTAAGTCATGAGTGCTGTTAGTTTAAACTTATTCAATGCTTATCAATAAAAAGATGTATACTTCAGAAAATATGTAGTATTCCACCCTTGGTAAATTTAGTATGATTAATATGAATTTTTTGTTTGTTTTGTTTTAGGTTCGTGGGAGCAAGGGAGAAGTTCTGTATATTTTGGATGCTACCAACCCGAGACACTCCAACTGGCTTCGCTTTGTTCATGAGGCACCGTCTCAGGAGCGGAAGAACCTGGCTGCCATTCAAGTGAGCTTGTTGGCTTTGTATGTACAGTGCACCATAAGAGTAATGAATTAATTTATGGATCTACTCTGTGTCGTCAGCTTATTTCCCCGTGATCAGCTTCAAATAACAGTACCTAAATCTTAAAAACAGAGAAAATTATCATAGTCTTCATATGCAGGAAAAAGCAACTGAACTGTCAGCTAAAACCAGGTCACTGGCTTTATGGGAATTCTTGGAGGGAATGATTTACATGGTTTGATACTGTGCTTGGCAGAGCTTGCCTTCAAATACTTTTATTTTCTTAAGTGATTTTTTTCTTGATAGCACTTTGGTTTGCTGGCTGTTCTGGCTCTTTGTACTCTGCCATTGATTATTCTTTGAGAAAGGCCTCCTGGAGACCTTGTTCATGTGTGATTCCCCACAGTCCAACTGAGGCCCTTGGGGATCGTGTGTTTTTGAGACTTTTCAGATAAACAGATTCGGTGGGATACATTTAAGTATCTCTCTGTGCTTAGAAACATTTGGCTCATGAAATAGTAGACACTGGCAAATCCAAAATCTGCAGAGTAGATGTCTCAATTTGAATCCAAGAACCTAAAGCTCCTGTAGAGCCACGAAGGCTGCTTGGAATAAGCTGAAGATATGGTGTTTCTCTTATGGTGACCAAGCAGTGTGGCAGCATTGTGTTCTCTTCAGCCCTTCAACTGATTGGATGAAGCCCACTCATATTGTGATAGTCAGTATTCCTTACTGAATCAGATTTTACTCTCATCTGAAACTGTTTTCATAAAAACACACAGCCTACGGTTTTATCAGCTGTCAGCCACTACATGCCCAGTTAGGCCGACCCGTAAAAACAATTCCACAAGTAGGACCACATCTTGCTGAATTCTGTTTCTCTGTATAGCAGTATACTGCCACACAAAACATTTGGTGCCTGTACAGACTATGAGGTGAACTTAGCGATTGTCCAATGGCAATACAGGCAAAAGGAAAAGAAACAAGTATAGAGTGAGCCTATAAATAAAAGACCAGTCGGAAAAACCAAGAGAATGAAGGGACACCATGGGGTGATGATAAACTGACTCATCCCATGTAAAGCTTCTTTCCTGACTGAACTGCAGAAGTCAAGAAGCCATGGCTGCCAGAAACAGGAAGGGAAGGAAGATAACTGAGCAAACTGACTATACTCTTCTGTGTGTGACATTTGCTTATAGAAATTTATTGATTAGTGCACTGATTATGCTTTATCCTAAACCAGCTGTGGTGAGGGGAAAATTCCACAGCACTAAGTTTCATTTCAAGAAAAAATACAGTCATCTGATATTCAATTTCCTATCCTCAGCTAAACAATTTCTCCTTTTATATGAGGGTTAGGAAAGCTGTATTTCCCTGTATGGACACATAGAATTGACTCTAATAGGGTCCCAATTGAGAGTGTCCCAGACACTCAGTGACCACTTTCCTTCCCCCATGGCAACTGTATCCCTTTCCTTGAGAGAGTTTAGGAGCCTGTGAAAGAAAATGGTTGCCATTGTGGTCCCTCCGCACATAAGTGATGACTTAAGAAGGGCGTCAAGGTAAGGGCAGGATTAGAATATGACAAGAGCCTCTGCGAAACATCATCGTTGATTTAATTAGGGTCTAAATCTGTTCAGAGGCCACTGCAAGGATATTGTTGTGGAAGCAAAGACAATACCTTGTTTTCTTTTAGTGTTGCTTTGCCCTTTCTTAATGGGAATGGATGTACCATTACTTGGTTTTGTCATGGTATACATAGGAACCTTATTAGCTCCCTTGAGGTAGCAACTTTCTCACTTGAACAGTAGCTGTAGGTTCAGACTGTTGAGGCTTCAAAATCACATTTGAGTAAGGGTCAAAGAGCATAATAGTTAGGTCTCATGACTGAAAACTAAGCCAGACTTCTAATTGGCAAGAATGCTCTCCTGAGAGTTGCATTCCAGAAACTCTGAGTGGGTAAGACACGAGCGTAATGTTTCCTGCATTGCATTATGAATCACTTGCATTCCAAATTGCATCTGAAATTTCGGGTATTCAGGAAATTTTTTATTTGAGCTGTATGCCCTAGGGGTGGAGTAAATGAGAAACATTTGTGAGTATGTGGCTTGCTTGGTGGAAAACGTCAATACTTGGTCCAATTTTTTTGGACAAGGGATTAAGAATTTCAGGTCTGTTTTGGCAAATGATTGGAACTCCTTCATGGAAGCTCAATTATATTTGTAGGTTTGCAATTTATTTGATTTTTGGAAATTTGCTTTGGAAATGATGATTAAATATCTAAATTGCCGAAGAAGGATCCAGGGAGCAAATATTTCTTCCCACGTGGACCCTTTGCAGAATAATCAGTTGAATTGTGTATTTAGACTTTGGAAACGTTTCCAACTTAGACTAGAAGGTTCTGAATATGAAAGATGTGTCTATAAGTGATGCAGAAACCCTCTCAAACATCTGAAGAGTGGTGACGCTTTTCAAAGTTACTTTTGTGCCTCTAAATGAATACGTGCGTATAGTATTTGATAAAGTATGGTAAATCAGTGTTTTATAGGCTTATAAAAACCTTTGTTCTGATTTTTAAATAAAGAACCATTTAGTTAAAATTACTCACCTAAAATAGTGAGTTATGCTATTTGGAAAAGAAACTGAATTCTTTGTATTTTCCAAGGTACTGTACTTCATATTCCTCTTTACCCCATCTCCAGACTTGTCTTCCCTAGAGCCTTTGCTGTATGTATGTGGTTGGCATGAATGAAAAAGTGACTTGGTGTTTATGGGGATCTTGTCACATGAAGGGAGTCTTTGGGTCATCATTGATATCATGAAGAAGGCTGGGTATGAAGATATTCTAAATGATGAAGAGTCTGCAGATTAGGGCAGGGTAGGGGTGCTCATCGGGGGAGGATGCTGGGATTTAGTAATTAACCACATGTAAACCACTTGTCTGAAAAATAGTACTTTACATACATCTGTACCCTGTAGAGATTTGTCACAAAAATCAAGATTCTTCCTGAGAAAATGTCACTATAAACCAAGATATTACTGGTATTTGGCGTAAACTTTAACTCAAAGATTGCAAAAGAAATATTAGAAAACTTGTCCTTTATAAGTCATTTGTAGACTTTACATTTTTCATCCTCACAGGAAAAAAAAATATTAACAGAAGTTAGTGATGACGCAAAAGTTGTGCCCCCATCTGCCAGCACATGCAGTAAAGGCTTTCTGTGCAGAGTATTGCCCATCACATCCTTAGTCGCAAGTGGAACAAAATTTGTCCTTAGGCAACTTGAAGCTCCTCTTTTTTTTTTTTTTTTTTTTTGAAGCTCCTTTTTAAGGAGTGTTTATGGCTAAGACAGATATGTCAATAGGAAGAGTGCTAAGCGCAGTGTTTTATAGACTGCAAATAGCCATTCAAAGTGATGAACAAAGCATTATTGGTGAAAACACTTTTTTTTAAATGGAAGTAAGATTTGGTTTTTGTACCTCCAATCTTAGAAATCATAGCAATTGTTAACTCTGACCACCAAAGGCCAGTTCATTATCTGTGTCTCTCCCAGCGGTAAGAGCATGTTATTATGGTGTGTCACCAATATGTTATGGGAGTCATTTCTTAAGAGTATAGATTTTGATATATACTCAGTTTATACTCGGTATATATACTGGTCATCTTGATTATCTTTGTCATCAGTTGAACTCTGGCATGATTTAAAAAGACAGCTTAGCAACAGAGCAATGGACAAAGAGGGTCCTATGTAGTTGTGGGGTTGGCTGTAGAGGTTTGTGACATTGGGAAAGTGCGGAGTCCAGGCAAAGAGCATGTGTATAAGATTTGAGCATGAACATCCTTTTCACCAGGAGCTTTGTAGTTGATGTTCATAGACAGCTTGACAGTGGCTATGTCTGTCGTTTGATTGATTTGTGCTATAGCCCTGCACACTGTCTTATGTTTAATTAATTGGACATTTGTCTGACTGACATGCCTATGGCTTCTCCAGCTGGCTTGAGATGGTCATATTTAATATCCTGACATGAACAATGTAATGTATTCTGGCTTCCTTCCCTGATGTCAGTTGCAGTCCTTGAGGTGGGTCTTTACACATTTTCTATGGTATCATCTTTCCATTCAGAGGCAAGAACAGAAAGGAGATAGTCATTTTTACTGACGGTTATTCCAGTTCTTCCCCAGCTGGGCTGTGAGGACTTCCCCCAACTCCATTCAGATCCCATTTCTATATTTTGGAATAAAATACAATTTCATAGATCTTACCTTTTCCTTTATATTTTAAAATTGTATATTATTAAGTATATATTCATTTATAGTGATATCTTTGCTTATATTGTGTTTCAGCTCATTAAACTACTAATGCCATGCATATAATGTTGACATAGAATCATTCTTTGAAACACTTTGCTCCTTAATATAGGGTTTAGCTCATTATTAAAACCCATATAGTAGCCTCATGATGATTTTACTCTCAGAAAGTTCATTGGTAAGTGTAACCAAAGCAGAGAAGCACATAGAAGTGATTTTCCATAAATTATGATACATCAAATTATTATAAAACCTTACCACATTTATCAGTTTTTTGCTTTAGTGCATCCCAAGATCAAATACATCTTTCTATGTTATTGTTGAAAATAAAAATCCTGTACTAGATTGGCGAACAAACCTAAAGCCACACTATATGATGTTCAAATGGCAGAACATTGTTAGAACCCTGTTGGCCCCTTAGTCTGCCGATATCTCTATGTGCAGTATCTGCCAATTCCAGAAATTCCACACTTTATTATACTTTTGCTGTTTTTTAAAATCTCAGAAATAGTAATGTTCTTTATTTAAAGCCAGGAGATAGTTTTCATAGCCAATTCCTTTAAATCTAGTGTTGGATTGAAATCTTGGGCATGATGGGGCTGGAGTTGTTGCTCATTTGGCAAAGTGAGTGCCTGAAACCCTTAAGGCCCTGGCTTCTTCCCCCAGCACTGTTTAAATTAGATGTAGTGGAACA